CATAAGAGAGAACTTAAAATAATAAGCCAATCATAACATTATGTAAAATGAAATTGTTTAGGAAATGTTTATATTATGTAATAATGTAATTTATATATACATACACACATGCATATTATCTAGGGAATAACTGTCATAAAAGATATTAAGAGAGTGCATTAAAAACAAAGGCAGGTAGAAGAGAGGGTGGAATTTATTCTGTTCCATTTAATCTCCGCTTTACTTCCTTTACTTCATTTTGGCCTGGAAGTCAGGCTATCAGAACTCTCTTTGTGAGAAGAATTAGCATGGAGATTATATAGGGTTCTGAATTTTTTATATGCTTTTGAAAGTTTTCCTTCTGTCAAATTTAGGACTTTGTGTTACAATGAAGAGACAGCTGTGAAGGTAGCTGGCCAATCCCTTCATAGGAATATTATTTTCACATGGCTTAGCTTTGAATCCAAGGGAAAATGTACTTCTTTTCTTCTTTTATTAATTAGTGCCTTTAATAAGAGCTTTCATTAATCAACATGTCTTTAGAAAAGCTGGTCTCTTCCCTTAGAGCTGAATAAATCCTGCTGTGTGGGATACTGGTAATGGTGCTAGGACTTATGTTTTTTGGAATGTATTACAAGGAATTTGATATATGAATGAAAAAAAAAATTATTCCTCAGCAGCCACAGGGTTTTTTCTTAACAGAGCTTAAACAAACAAACAAACAAACAAAAACCCAAAACAAATAGCCCAAATATGCTAATTTCTACTACACTCTTTAATGTCTACCTTTCAGATTTAATCACCACAGGAGACAGAATCACAAACAGAGTCTGTTATAATTATTCTATCATCAGGTTGATCAACTAGCAGCTCATCACATGGGACTTCATACCACCAAAATAGGGAACTGCCCAATGTGTAGTGACATAATTTATGAGGGAGCTCCTTAAAAGAATTTAGAAGCAGCGACGCAGTCCTTATCAGAAAAGCATTGACTGTCTTGAGCCTGGGTTTATATAATTAACAACTATGAAACAAAATGAACTATTCAAGCTATTTTCTACACATTTTCCAATAACCAGATGTTTAGAACTGTGGATGCAAAACATCCAGATGATTGAAAATTTAAGTATTTGTCATGATATTTGGTATGGTGTTAACACAGCTTATGCTTGAGGAGTGTATTTTTGCACCTGCTTTGTTCATCTCCCTAAAAAGTAGGTAATCTAGCAGATTTTTAAGTGGAAAAAAAAAAACACTTTCAAGAAAAGCCATGCCATACTCAATTAAAGGATATATTTATTATTGAACATTTTTATTCAGATCATTTCATTGTCTATACTTCAAAGAGATCCTAAGATCACTAGCTACAAAAATGTTCCATTTTGAATTCCAGAGAAGGAAAGAGATCTGGGTTTGTTACCAGAGAATTGTTACCTCACCCCTCCTCATTAATGATCTGATCATGCTAACTTCACCAACCTCTTCATTGTAAACGGGGAGAACTCTTCAATTTGCTGCTGTCCGACTGAAAATGCATAGTATAATCTGTCACTGTGGTTAAGAATCCAAGCCGACTGGCCTTTTTCAAGGCACAACTTGCCAGTACCTTTGTGTCTTCATCTATAAAATGAAGATAATAGCAGCATCTGGCTCGTAGAGTTATGTGAGAATTAAATAATATAATAAATGTAAAGTGCCCAACAAACCACCTAGCCCACACTAAACAGAATGTCTAATGGAGTAAAAGGATTTCTGAAGGATAGAGCCAAATGTTGTAGTTCTTTCTTTTTTCAAGTAGTTATGTGCATGAATGCTTTGCTTGATCCGCCACCTGCACCGTGCTCACCTCTGCCCCTCAATCACCATTTTACTCTTTCACTCAATTCTGAGCTCATTTTTTTTTACCTACTGTCTCAGATTGCTTAACACATCCTCTATATCATACAGAAGTTATTATTTGTGATGTGTATGTTTGAATTTAGTTATATGTTATCATGGTTTATATGGGTGTGACACTTCTTTTCCCAACTAGGTTGCACTTTGGGAATTTTGGTATGCTTTACCATATTATTCCTTTTTTTCCAGAAGTATCTTAATTTTTGCTTTCATCGATCTTCTCAACAAACATTTATATTCATTGTCTATTATGTGTAGGCCCTTAGAATGTACACAAGTGACCAAATAGAATTCTTGGATCCTACTTCTAGTGGAGAGAAATGGAGAATAATCAATCAGTAAATAGATAATATATTTAAAGGGAGTGGAGACAGTGGTGTTGTTGTTTGCTATTTAATACATTAGGTAATTTAGTGAAGACCTAAGGAAGATAGGAAACAATAC